GACTCTGCCGCTTTAAAGGACAATTACTTATGGTGCACTAGACCGATTCCACGTCTATTTACAATGGTTTTTCTCCCTGACTCTACCGCTTCAAAGGACAATTACTTCTCCCTGCTGCTTCCCAGAATTAGGTCCTCTGTCGCCCTTCACTTCACCTAATTTTTCCATTTAGCTTATGTCTTGGCCTATGAATTGGCTGTAATCTAAAGCACCTCATTCAGTCCGAAAATAGTTGTCGCTTTAACCCTTTACATTTAGATTTAAAAAAAATATTGTTTTATAATTCATATTGCATTATACTGTAAAATAAAATCATTAGATAGAAGGAAGGCTTTAATATTAAGTATGTAATTTCATCAAATAATTATTGTAGTACTGTTCCATATAGTCTGAATTGTATTACATTTTTTTTGTAAATTTAAATAATACTTTTTTATATCTTTTTAATACATTTGATTTTTTTTCCTTATAAATAATTCTTGTTAAACAATTTCATTTTAATTAAAAAACTAACCTTTAAAAGAAAAAGTTAAAGCGATAACTAATTTTAAGCAAGCGGGGGAGTAGAATCAAATCAATACTACTTACTACCTTTGATATTTTTTTGTTTGTTTCCAGCTAATCTTGACATTAAGACAATGTGCTACTGGTGAACTGCCTCAATTGAAGTCTTTATTGATGCCTGACCAATTCTCAAAAAAAATTTTTTTTTTGGCCAACATTTTTTCAAGGTTAAGTAATTCAAATTTTAAAAAGACTTAGAGGAACTTTATAAAAAGATATTGTATAGAAAATAAGGATGGAAAGAAAAGTTTAAGTTCAAATTAAGCTTTGGTATTATATAATAATTAATTCAAGGTAAAGCTAAAGCAAGAGCCTAGATTTCTAAGCACAGATCTCATACTATATAGAAAGGGATTGTTAGATAATTGATATCCCTTTCTCATTAAGGAATGGGACTGTATTATTCCTAAAGTTTCTCAATCAGTATTTAAATGCTGATACCATAATCAAAACATATTTATACAACAAAATAAAACACCCCCAATGGAATTAAAGATAGTTAAGATAAAAAAGTGTGGTGGTAGTAATAATTGTTATATAGTTCGAACTAAAATAAAAA